CAAGTGTCCAGAAGAGGATGCTTTTCATGGTGGTAGGCAGAGGGGGAGGAGCTCCAATCGTAACAGAGGGGAGGGGAACGGATCTAGCGAGGGGGGGGGAGCGTAAAGTGAGACTGCCTGCAGCGGCTCAGGCAGTCGGAGCGCGGACGGGGGAGGAGGAGGAGGAGGAGGAGGTGAGAGGAAGAGGGAGGGAATCTGGAGACAGAAAGAGAATGTAAGAAGACAGTCCAGCAGCTCCTCCAAGCATCTCACAGACAGCCGGGTTAATGCGACGGGCCGGTGTTGAGGGAAGTGTGTGAGTTCACTCTCTTGTTAGTGTGTGTAACTTGGATGTTTCTCTCTCAGGTGAGGTGTTCTTCTCCAGCACGGCTGAATCGTCTCCGGTCCCGTCAGCCAACGGGGCCTCTGAGGAGAAAATGGTGACCCCGACTCCCACCCGGCCCCGGACCACAGAGGACCTTTTTGCCGCCATTCACAGGTACAATGGTGCTTCTTATTTTGTGTCTCTTCTTTACACACTCCAACTTCTTCCCTCTGGACCCGCTTCAACTCCTGATGTATAATTGATTCCACTGAGCTAGTTGTTTCCCCCCTCTAGTATGTTGTCATTGTGTTTCCTTCCCCCTCTTTCTCATAAACCACAGTATATCACCTTGGCTCCTTCTCCCCCTTCGACCCATGATATGTCTTCTTCCCTCCCCCTCCCCCTCCCCCCTCCTCTGCCCTCCACCTCTCAGTCATAACTTTACTCAGCGCTGTCCCGTCTGGAAGCATCCATATCTGTCAAACAGCCGCTCTCTGGGGTCTTCAAGCCCTGAGTGGCTTTTCCTGTTTCTGGTCATGGAAACGATGCGAGAAGCCACACAAGTCGGTGCCAGTCATATTTTGATCAGGTCTGCGTTAGCGAAGTCACATTTGCGTTGCTCCTTCTCAGCACGAGAGACAAGGCGGGTGCTTTATCCATTATTTATCTACTCGACACCCTCGGGTCCTAATCTAGGTTAGAGGCCACCGGAGAGATTTGTCTTTCTCCCTCTCTCTTTTCTTTCCTTCTTCTACACGCTGCTCACTGACATATATTGCATACGTGCTTCAAAGGGAGCTCACGCATACATTTCTCATGCAGCCCGCCCGTTTGTGTTTCACGTGCAGCGGCAGTCGGGGTTCTCTTGAGCATCACAGGATTTCATTTCACAGGGTTTTATTTCACAGGGTTTTATTTCAGCGACAGATTGCCGATGTATTTATGGTGCACGCGTCACGTGTACAAGTGCGATTTGTTGTGCACTTGAATTGGATGGCAGTATTGTGTAAGCATGTGTGGGTAAACCTAACACTGGGACTTTGTTTGTTTAGCACTTATGTTACTGCCTCTCTAGTGTGGAGCATCATTTGACAGATTGTTTATATGCAGGGTAGTGAAGACTGGAGAAGAATGAAATGTAAACTTAGCTATTTACATTATATCTTTCATTCAATTATAATCCATTTGTGACATTTCAATTTAGTAATGAATATAATATACGTCAGAATGATCAATTTGATATACTTTATGTTTTATAACATTTATCTCAGTAGATGTTTCTTTTTCACATTTCCTGTCCCCCTCTTACCTGTCCAATACTTTCTTTCCCCCTCTCATTTCACCTCCATGTTGCCCCCTCGCTCTGGGAAAACCTAGAATGAAATGCCGTTACAGCTGCAGCCATAAAATACAACCTGTCTGGGGGGAAATCCCCCAAAGCAAATGTAATACAGCCGGGAGAAGGAAATCGATGGAGCTCTCGGAGACGGGTCTTAAATTGCAGCCTTGTTTACTTCTCTATAACGGGGATTGGTATAACCTCCTCTCCTGTGTGGCCTTATATTTGTCTTCACCAACCATGAGTTCAGTATGGAGCTAAGGTGTGACTGAGTTCAGGTGTGTTGGCGTGTGTGTGTGAGACGGTCTTATGTAAGGCTGATGGGCTAATGTGAGCTCACAGGGGACGGCGCTAGACGGAGGTTGAATTTAGGGCGCAGACACTTACAGTGTTTCTAAACCATTCATACCCTCTCGTTTGACCTTCAAGAGTATATTCTCTACACGTTTGTTGTCCTTCTTCATGGAATCATTTCTTTCTGAGGATTAAACATTTGTTTCTCCCACTGCTCCTTTGACTTTTAGCATCAAATGGCTCTCACAGAATCTGTATTCATGCATTTATCTCTGTCTCTCCTCTCCTCTCTCCCTCCCTGTGCAGAGGGGGCATGCAGAGGGTGGGTTCCTCCTTTCTAGAGAGGTGCGAAGTGGCAAGTAGCCCCTTCCCTATAATTAGCAAACCACCGCAGTGGCACTACCTCTGGATTAGCAACAGAGACCCCACAGTGCAGCCCCCTGGACCTCAGATTATTAACGCTGTTTCCCTGCTAGCCCTAACCCCCCCTGTATTCTGCCAGTTGCTGCTTTATGGCAATGCTTTTGCGCAGGAGTTCCAGCCGGTGTAGGCTGAGTGAGTGGTGCAGTCAACCACTCTGATACCCCCTGTTAAGAGGAGGCGGGATTGTCACTGTGTGATTAAAACTGCTTTGGGCACCTTTCCCAGTTTGTGTTTTTGATTCATTTCAATGCGCTGAGCTTTTCTGCAGAGCTGCAGCGTCTGCAGCTTTTCTTCTAAAATCTCTTTAACCAAATGTATAACTATTTTTCTTACGACCTCCTTTTCTTTTTTGGAGCATCCACGCCACTCAATGCTTATTGTTTTACCTCTTTAAGATGTGTGCTGTGACGCATAATTGCTGGGGGCAGTGCTGACTTATGGCAAATATGGGACAAAGATTGCGCCACGTAGGCCAAGTTTTTTAAGTTAAATCTTTTTTTTTTTTTGGAACATCTACACAGAAGCAAAGACCAAACTGGGCTAAGCAGGCTGCGTCCTGCTCAGTTGTTATATGAAATCCCATACGCTGCAGCCTCATTTGAATGTGAATCATTGGATCTGATGATTGCTTCCTGACAAACTGCCCCTAACTCTTGCATTTCTTCTTGCTCTTTCATCAGTTCAACGATTAGTTTGCCCTTAAATGATCTAACTATATCAATTCAATAACCATCCTTGCAGTCACTCGCTCACTAAGCCACATTTGTAAAAACGTGTCAATAATTAGATTTTCATCTTATCCTAGGTCGAAGCGGAAAGTCCTGGGACGCAAGGAGACGGAGGAGGACAAGTCCCGGGCTGGGAGCCAACCCCAGTCTCCACCGGCCACCCCAACTGGGGGCTCCCCGGTGATGGGGTCCCCGGGCATGGTGTCCCCGGGCATGGCGTCCCCGGGCATGGCGTCCCCGGTCATGGCGTCCCCGGTCATGGCATCTCCGGGCATGCCGTCCCCGGGCATGGCGTCCCCGGTCATGGCGTCCCCGGCCATGATGTCCCCGGGCTCGACGTCCTCCTTGCCCCGCCAGACAGGCTCCATCCAGCGCAACCTCCGCAAGTCCTCCACCAGCAGCGACACCTTCAAGGCCCTCCTCCTGAAGAAGGGCAGCCGCTCAGAGACCAGCTTCAGGATGTCGGCCACCGAGATGCTTCGCTCCACCGGCCCTCGCACCCAGCGAATATACTCCGAGTCAGCGTTGGACTCTCCTGCTGCTTCTCCCTCCTCACTGGGGTCCCCAAACAGCCCCTGCAGCTCCCCAGGCCGCGGGAAGAGGGCAACAGATGAGTGGAGCCGCTACGACGCGTTTTCCCTGTCCTCGCCGACGGCATCGACCTATTCAATGAGCGGGTTCAAGTACGGGCGCTCCCGCACGCCGCCTTCTGCCGCCAGCAGCAAGTACAACGCCCGCAACCGAATGCTCAGCAGCCCAATGACAGTCATCTGTGAGCGGGAGGGGGAGCTGGCTGAGAGCGAGTACGGAGACCCTGCAGAAAGTCTGTCCGGACCCTCGGCGCAGACCCTGGCTGTACTCAATAACTCCAATGGCACTTTATCTGGAGAGAGCAGAAGTTAACGAGCAAGGAGCGCCCCTTAGATACAGGGAGCTAAACTCTATCATCATAACCAGGTAGCAGGCAGGAAGAGGAGCCAATAGTTGGCCCTCTGGACAGAACTTCCTGTGCCACTCCCCCTCAAAGCCCGAAGGGGTGGGTGTCAGGTGCTGATGTGAGGTCAGAGGTCACCCCGTCATGGACAGAGCTGAACTTTATCTGAAGTGGACTGGTTGTGCTGCAGCTTTTCATGGATTCTCACTCTGTCCTTCGTTTCACATTTGTGTTGAAAGAAAAGTGTTTCTTCTACACCTGGTGTTTTAAGTATGTTTTCCATTTGTTTCGCTGTTTTCTTTTACTGTATCATGTCCCTAACACGCAGGACCTCTTACGTTTCTTTGAAGAACAAGGTTGGGGTGGTAAACTAAGATGAAGTGAAGGAATTGAAAAGTAACTTTGCTGCTGTGGTGCTACGTAGCTTGGCAATTGGAAAGAGTGGGATGTAGACGCTCGACTTGTGAACCTCCTCAGCTTCTGCTTCTCTTCTGTTGGCTCTGGAAAGTGTTTGAATGCACCCCCTTGTGCAAGTGTTGGCTTCAAACAGCCCATAACATTGTGGAAAGAACGAGAGGAAGTGGTACGACAGAGAGCACCACGATACCTCTTACAGGGGACCTATCATGCAAAATGCACTTTTGTACATTTTTTATACATGTTTATACATTATACATGTGTCACAAAACCCAACCCTCTCTCTTTTCCTCCATACCCAAATCTCTAAAAACGGGGCTGCAATGGATCTGATACAGACTTGAAAATAGTCTGACGTCAGTGACGAGGAGCTCAACCTATATGGCCAACTCTCCACCAATCAGGGGAATGAGAGGTTGCCGTGGCATGGTAACAGCATGGTAACAGCATGGTAACATGACGCTCGCAACTCGGCCCCCTCCTTTGCAGGGGGGCGTGGTCAGCTGCAGCCAAAGACAGGGTGGAGGAGAGGAAAATAGTGCGAAATGAGGCATGGCTAAAATGCATGATCTGTTTGGTATTTTGAAAAAGAACAAGTATAAATATACCTTATATAGGTATGTCCCTACAATATATTATTCAAATATAGCATGATAGGTCTCCTTTAAGCTGTGGTTATGGCCAGGTTTTGCTTCTTGTTCTTAGGTCAGAGCTGTAGTTTGCAGAGCTGGTGTGTTCAGTGGTCCGTAGAAAGTGCAGAGGGCTCAGAGCTTCACCTAGTGATGGCCAGGAAGTCAAAAGCTGTGAAGTTTAAAAGACACCAAAACAGAAAATGTGTTCTAAAAACGCTCATAACATTTTAGTTCATAGATTTTGCATTGTTCATTGGTCCTTTTCTTTGTTTGTGACTTTAAAAACATGTTTTAAAGATTGTTTTAATAACCAAGTGATGTCATGACTTGTGTTTGGGAGTTCAGTATGAATCTATACATAAAGAGGGGATGACATTAAAAGAGAAGCTTATGTTACTGTCCGGGTCTTTTAGTGTTCAGGTTTGTTACCAAAGAGCTGAAAAATTATCTGGAAGTGAACACAATCTGAGTTTGGCTTCTCTAACACCACGCGTTGCGGTCGAGTCGTCGCTACGACCTCCTAGAAGCTTTTTAGGGCTCGAATGATTTCTAGAATGATGTTAACATTTCTGCTCAGTTTATCTTTTTGCAGTTTTATATGATTCTGTATGTAAATACATAGAGGACTTTTAAGTAACATTTTGACTTGTTTTCAAAGACTGTACATTTTTTAGAGCCCAGCGTTTTCTGAAAGGGAGTGGTTTCCTATTTGTAGATTATTTATTTTCACATAGCAGGGCTGCAAAGGTGTTGCGATCTTAGTTCACCAGAGAGGTGATGGGGGGGCCACATTTACTGCGCTGATCCCTCCTGGCTGTTTCCTTCTTTTAAAAGTGCTTCATATAACAACAAATGCAATCATGTCAATATTTGTGCTAAATCCTTCAACTGCCCTTAATCCTTAGCCATGCAAAGCCAGCACTGGTGCTCTCAGCTGAGTAAATGTGGTCTCTATGGAGTCATAAAGTGAGGAGACAGGCGTGGGACTTCCTAACCTCCTAACAGCCATAACACCCCGTGGGTAATCACCTGTGACCAAAGTGTGTCTCTGAGACCTCGCTCGGCCATGATTGAGCACTTGGGGCTCCGAGCTTTGTCTCAGGACAGGAAAGCGTCTCAGTCGCAGGCGGCTTGTGAAAAGACACGACAGAAAAAGTACTTGGGGAGGAGCTGCTGAAGCTCATGTGTATGTCTGTGTAATAAAAACAAAGTGATATTTAAAGAGATGGTTTCTGTCGATTTTTTCTATAAGTGTGTGTGAGCCATCTGCCAAAACGCAAATCACAGTCTCATTAGTGCCATTGCCATGACACCCACACTCGTCCGTCAAGCCCCAGGGGGCCCACTCCCCCCACCCAAAGGTTATCAGTTATGTCTCCTTCTGGACATCCTATTAGGACACACTCATTCACAGGCTCGACCCATAATAGACCTATCCAGTGACTGCAGAGTGACTGCCCACAACTCACACCCAGACCAGTAATATGTGGATCCCTTCACAGAAACGATGACCGCCCCTCAGTATTTATAATGAAGTCCCTCCACCTCCAATTCAGCAGTGTCATCTGCTCTCTGATGCTGTGTCCATCTTGCCGTCAGACCGAAATCAATACAAATTCCTCCCTGCTCAAATATATGTAAGGGTCCCCCCATTATGAAAAATTTCACTTTTTTGATGAGGGTCCCCCGTTGAGTCAGGAAATATGTTTAGATAAGGGTCCCCTAAGAACTTACATTTAAGATAAGGGTCCCCCCTATTATATAAAACATTTATTTACATAAGGGCCCAAAATATATATGTATATAAACATTACATCTTTTAGATAAGGGGCCTACCTACGATAAAACATTTTGTTGTTATAATTCAAGTAACAATATACACACGCTAACAAACCAAAATGTCCATTTCAATCCCACCACTCTCCCACCCAACAACCTGTACACCAGTCCAGAAAGTACAGTTTTTGATAAGGGTCCCCCTTAAGTCCGGAACCCTCTTTTTAAATATAAGGGTCCCCCCTCTTTTTGATAAGGGTCCCCCTTAGATAAAAAAATATTTTTGGTAATGATTCCCCCTTACTGTATATCCAGAACAAACTTTTAAGATAAGGGTTCCCCCCTTTAACAATATCATAGAATAAAAAAAAAAAAGCTTGATCACAAGGCTTGGAATAACATCAAAAATGATTTACCCGTCCTTTTTCCTCCAATATATCTGACAATTATTTTACATATATGCTGACTGAAGTCCTCCACCAGGCAGGAAAAAAAATACACATGTGTTTAAATGTTAGCACCATTATACATTTGCTATCTGTAGCATAGTTTCACCTCACTGAGCAGGGACGGTGAGATTGATCTGACCGGCGAATAACAGATATATAGTGTGTGTTCAGAAGATAAAAAAAGATGTCAGATCTGCTGAGTGTCTGAACATGATATTGGGAACATTTCTGCCACAAATAAAGACAATGACTCAGCAGACCTGAACCAACAAGGGAGCCAGAGGAGAAGGTGAGAGAGGACGAAGCTTACAGTGTGGAGTATATCACCATGCTAATGAAAGGTCTCACTGATCAGTGTGTGGAGGACGGCCTGCACTGTATCCCCTGCAGATCAAATACACCACCACACTCCAGTGAAGATGGAGATACAAAATATCAGAAAAGTCAATCATTTAATGCAGAGGTATATTTATTAATAATGAGATCATACATTTTTACATTCTTAAACATCATATCTCCCACGATTCATACTTCAGTGCAGTGCTTACGTCACCATTCCCTCATCAAGTACCATGCCGTTTCCTTTCTGCAGGATTCAAAACACAACTTCTAGTATATAATGAGCTCTTCATAAAATGATTGAGGTAATGCACACATTTGTTTTCTTGATTTTGCAGGCATGACTGGTCTAGATTTAAACCAACTCCCTCACTCATCACAACGAGCGTGATAAGGTGACAGCAAGTGAAGTCTGAGATCAGATTTACCAAGGCACCTTCACAGCAGGTACACTGACTGATAAAGGGAAAACCTGCTGTCAGAGTGAAAGGAGAGGCTCACAGCAACACAATACGAGCATTTCTACATTGAGATGGGCTCTGTAAAGATTCCTCTTGTCTACACTGGATGCCAAGAGATTTCTTTCTGGGGTGATTTCAATGCAAGTGATGGCAGATTTCTATTGTATGTTTTAAACAAATATCTCTCTTGGCGTTTAACTAAGGGTGTAGCCTTTTCTGAGCTGCAGTAAGACAAAAAGAAACCCTTTAAATTGGAGGATAGGAGCCTAATTACACTATCTCTGGCTGTTAAAGCATCATATTGGTTATGGCTCAACTTCGATTGCATTTGTTCGCAGTCGTGCATCCTTTAGCGTTCTCTTGGCAATTCGAACAGACAAGAGGAACCATTACACTGCAATTATTGCTTTCAAACATTATTTCAAACTTTATTTCATCAGTCTTTTCATATTACTATATAGGTAAACACAAATTAAATTCCCACATAACAAATCAATTTGTAATAAAATAATGAAGAGGCACTTGTGGTTTTTGTCATGACAAGACGCACCAAATGAGAGGAATGTTTTCGGACTAGTTGGCGCCACCTACTGGTAATATTGAACTATTGCATGCAGTTTTTCCCCAGGTGTTTTTTTTTTTTTTTTTTTAATGCTATTGTAATCATTTGTTAGGACTCTTTGTCACGACCATCAGTAAGCCTCCCTCCTCCTCAGTAACTTTTAGTCAAAGGAAATAAAGCACAATACACAATCAGACAAATGAATATAATAATAATATATACAAAAAGTATTTTGTCAGTATGACCTTCCATTTTGTTCCACATACAAATACACAATAGGTAAAAAATTTCCCTCATGTATTTTTTGTTCTTCCATGATATGGTTATTTAAAGCTTGTAGTGGTCAGAGCTTAGTGTAAACTTTAAACATATTATTCCTGCTCCTTCAGGATCCACACCTCGTTCCTGCGGTGGGTGAGTTTGAAGGGACTGTCATACCCGGCTACGTAGAAGGGATGGTCGACGTATTGAACTGCGTCCCTCTTCAGGCTCTCAATAAGTTTCAGAAGCTCTTCACGCTTAATTTTCTCATTGGAGAAACCCCCATATGTCCTGAAACAATAACAAATTATCTAAACTTAAAGGTCACCTATTATGCAAAATCGATATGTAAAGAGATTCTGAAAGTTTCAGGAAAAAAGATTCTCTCTCTTTTTGTCCTGATCCATTTATATAAAAACCTGTCTGAAAATGAGCTGATCAGATTTTGGCTTCACTTTATGATGTCATAACGATTTTTTTGTCTTGTGTAACCATTAGCCAATCACCAACCAAGGTAACTCCCCCCCCCCCACCTTATCACCTGAATCTCCTCCTAGAGCACCATTGTGTTCTTTTTAACCAAATATCTCTCAGAGGGGCGTGGGGAGTGGCTCCTTATTTTCATCTAAACTTTGTAACAGACAGAGAATCAGCACTTTTGAAACAGAGGGGATTATGGGATGCTGCAATGATCTGTTTGGTGTTTGGAGCCAAACACTTCAGAGACATGTTTTGTATATATCTGAGACCTATAATATATTGATGAAAAACAGTCCAATAGGGGACCTTTAAGTCATGCACCTATGTTTCCCTGAAATGAGAAAAAACATGTATTATCAGTCGGTGCCTAAGCTGTACTCTACCTGACATAAGCTGTGAACTCTTTCCGGTGCTCCACAAACAAGTCGGGGTCGCTCGGCTGCGGGGGGGCGTCCTGATGCTCCTCTGGGATGTAGAAGGACACGGTGAACCGAGACTCACAAGCGGGGCCGGCTCCAGGGTCCACACGGCACGACACAGGAGCCGTCATCTCCACTTTCACCTCTGACAAACAAGGCACAATCACAACACGTTTTAGAGAAAGGGAATAAAAGACAAGCAGAACTCACATCTGCCTGCGAAAAAGTTATAAAAGTATGTGAGAAATGTTCCGATTTGGTTGATGATTGGTTTGAAATGTATTCTATTCAGCGAAATGTGTAAACTATGTGTAAGTTGCCAGCTGGAGGATCTTCACTACATAAAGACACCTGAACAGATGGTGGAAACATAACACAATGTGTGACAGATGTAGATTAAACAGCAGGTTTACACATCAGCCTACACTGCAGTACTCAGTTCACACAATGCGTATTCTCATAAATAATGCTGCTGTAAACTGCTGAGTCAGAAAAGTCAGGAGGTGCGGTTTGAAACTGCAGAGCAAGCACTAAAGTTAACTTTTTCCTCAGCTGTCTTATCTCCATGCCAAAATCCTCCATAACTTCCTTCTGCCACTTTAAACATTATTTACCTGACTGATTGTGTTTTATCAAGTTGTTTTTTTTAGGTTTAAGGATCTAACACACATTTCTTTAACAATAGCAAAGAAAAACCACTTCCACACTCCCTGAATAAGTACAAACAGAATAAATAAAGATGTATACAGCCTTAGATCAGGCTGTACATGCTTTATTTATTATACAACATTAGGACTGGATGAAACTCACTGTTTTGATTGTTGCCTTGAATGTATTTGAAGAGCTTGCGGAAGCCTGCGCCGAGGGCCGGGTCCCATTCCATACCACTCAGGGTGGTGCTCACCCAGTTTGTGGCAAGGTATGTGCGGGTCTCATAGTCTTGTCCCTGCAAAAACACTCGTTATAAATTCATCTGTTGATTCATTTTTTCGATTACCAATAGATCAATAAAATACCAGAACCCAGTGTACAATGATCCGTTTACAACATACTCTGAACTGATCAGGAGCCTTGCCTGTATTTCCATAGGGATTTTTTATCCATGTAACAAACTGAATGTGTATGTGTTACTTTAAACTATGAGCCCACATATTTTAATATAAAAGTTTTCATATGTCACCTATTTTAGAAACATGATATACAAATAAAGTTTCAAAAGTTGATCGCTCATCAAAACTATTACTGTTCTCCCCCTCCAGCATTACAGAACCTGACTGAATAGAGATTTAGATCTGCAAATGTCATATTTGTTTCACACTCTGTCCAAAAGTGACTTAATATAAATTAAATGCAATAAATAAAAGCAGCAAGTTCTCACAGTGGAGAATCTGGAACCAGCAAATGGTTTACACTAAAATTGAGTTTCAAAACCAACTGATTTTCTGTTGATCACTTTGAAAATCATTCACGACAAAACGACATACTCAAATATTTCATTTATTATAAAATATTTAACCTGTATTTGTAGTAGTTCATATATATTTATCATCAACGTGTATTTTATAATCCACACTAGCCTTGTCATTATTATTGCACTGTTTTCAATATAAATTAGTCTACTTTTTACACATTACATCTGCATAACCTGCTATACGAAACATAGAGATTGTGCATACGCTGAAGGTTTGTCACTTTAAACTGTATTTTTCGACATTTCAGCACTACCTTTACTCACATATTCAAAGAGAACAATCCACATCAGGCAAACATTTTACTGTCATTTGATTTGACATAATGACAACTGAAAAACATTTACCTCTTTCTTCTCTCCTTCTGTGTATTTAGGGTTCTGCAGTCCGGTTGAGAACAGAGCCTGTCCCACAGCTTTCAGCATGGCTGGAGTGAAGGTTGTCCAAACTACTAAGATTAAAATGTCGGTGAACTCGTTTTCCAACACCTGCAAATTAATTGTTCATGGAAAGGCATTACAAAACCCCACAGTAACACCTGTTACATCAGGTCACGAGACGAGAACACACCTTAGCTTATAAAACTCTGCAAATACATTCACTCAATAGTTCCGATACTGGGATGCAATTATTGACAGTACAAGATATTCTCACCTCTTCAGATGTTAAATTACTGAATAAATACAAATATAAATACATAAATACCTGTAACGTCAAACGTACTCCCACTATTTGCAAGGGTGTGAATCCAGCGCGTTTGTTATCAGAGCATTGCTTCCTGTTAAATAAAGCTGCAATCTGATTGGCTGAGCGAGTGGAACTTCAAAATAAGAGTCCCTATCTTTTGCGTCAACAACATCGTGTAAATAAAGAAAAGTTAAACTGAAGTCACCATTTACACTTGTTTGGGTGTTTTTGAATCATGCAACAACGCGGTGCAGGAATTGATAAAAAAGTATACGTTAAAAAAGAAAAGAATTCTAAAAAAAAAGAACTACTGTCAGGTGTCTATCAAAGGGAGGGGATACATTTGGCCGGCTGAAAATGCTGTTTTTTTTCATTAATTTGTGTACCCCTAGAACTTTTGCGAGGAAAAAAGAAAACTCCATATCCATCAAGATGTTTGGGCATGTCCTCTGGTAGGTACAACATAAAACACTTTAAAGTAGGGAAACGCATCATGAAGGGGTTACTGTGTACATCATTAGACGACATGGCCAGCGCTTAGACAATTATTGCACATTTGTTTACTTTAAAAACTGAAGTAAACTACAAACTGGGTTCAACATTATTATGTAATGTCGTGGACCTTTGTCAAAATGTAGTCATAATCTTTTTGTGCTCACTGATTGTATTGCTGTGTCTCTGTGTTAAATATAATGAAGTTGGCAACAAGGCACTCAAAGCTGCTTTATCCAGGCATAGGCGTATAAATGAAATGTTACCAGGCAGTTAAAAGTTATTTTTGGGAAGAGCATCTTCACCCATTTATTTACTACATAGTTATTTACATCATGGGGATTCATAGCTAACTTTACAAGAACAAAAATAAGTCATTTGCAGTATTTAAGAAGAACACAGTCCAGGCGATATGAGGCACAATAACAAAGGGGAGACGGAGTAAAAGCCTAAAACCTAACAGGACCCCTTCCAACTGTTTAACAAACACACTCAAACAAACAGGGGATAGACAATGTATGAACGAGAAATGTTACATCTATAACTCTTACGAACTTGAACAAAATGGTGAAAATAAGTCGGAAAATGATTGCCGTATTTGGGCTTAAGCTACAGTTTTGCATGAGTGATTACAAGGGGCCTGTTGGTGTGAGATATAGTCTCCATGGAGATGAGAGGTTGAGCAGTTGTAGAACAAGGCAAGCGCGACAGATATGGATGCATAGTTTAACAGCAGTAACTCTATCTAGCATTTTTCAAAATAGCAGGTGCATCTCTCTTGTCAAAGCTAATGTGATGTATGCACCCACACCCACCCACACCCACCCCCACACACACACACGTGAACACACACACACACACACACATGCAATGTATGGACATAAGTGTAAAAAACTTGATCTACAGGGACATGCAATCTAATGGAGGGATCCTTGCAGCAGCTTTTTGTCTCCATTTTCTCCTATGAAGGGAGACCTATTCGTTACTATCCATAGAGCCAAGGGCAGTGGAAAAAGGCAAAAAGGAAAGAGTGGTTTGTCGAATGTTCGTTGCTTACACACGGTCCAAAAGTCACTGCTGGAAATAGCAGCAAACAGTTCCTCCCCTGAGCCCCAGAACTCCAGTTACAACCTGTTAATCATTTCCATACGCTGCGTAATATATAGTAACAAGCGGGCCTTAACAATGGTTATAAAACAACTTACTGATTGATATTTACTTGGACAACAAAAACAGGGATTTATAAAAAACTAAAAGTTTATGATAGCTCTCATCAATGCATTGGTGGATTTATTGAATTGGTAGTATTTTATGAATCCCTCTTTAACTGTCGAAATAAAATCAATCAAGACTCTACATTCTCCACATGGTAGTGCGTTCTCTGTGTAGTTTGCAGCCAGTGAAGCTCCAGGGTTCTGTAAGCGTTTCAGGGCTGGTGGTTCTGGTGGACGAAGGACAGAACATCATCTTTGGACAGCTTCTCGGGGTCCATCCGTGTCTGAGAGTCGTGGACTATGACCCCGTCCACCCAGGCCCAGAAGTACCGCTCAGCGTGGCAAACACTGAAGGGGAAGACAAAGGAAGGAAACTGTTAAATCACATAAAGATGTTGCTATCTCAATGTGGAGAAGATGCTACAAACCTGAAGGGAGCAGCAGCGTTGGCTGGCATTTCATAGGTGGAGTCCTTGGTGGTCTTGTTGAAGAAGAACTTCATTTTGGAGTTTTTGCTGTACGCCATCGTCCAGGGCTCTGATGGAAGGAGGCGAAGAGACACACATATTTTTGAACATTTCTGAATTGAAATGTAATTATTTTACTCTGAGTATTGTTGAGGATTTGATTAAAGCAACTTAAAAATGTAGATTTAAGTGCCACTCATACCATTGACAGTCTTCACGACGTAAAGGCCGGTGGGAAGGAAGTGTCGGTCGTCTCTGCCCGTGTAGGACAGACGTGGGATTCCTCCTGAACTCTTCGTCACCTTCATCTCTAGTCTGTACGAAGAAAAGATAGTTAGAGAAATGTGAAACTTGGACTGATGTTATAAAGCTTAAATTCTCTAATACCGACATCCTGCCATACCTGACAAAGATCTTCTCCATTTCCTCCAGCCTGTAGACCTCCTTCACTCTGTTTGAGAAAATAAAGAAGTACCATTAAAGACATGTAAGATATAAAAGTACTCTCAAACTACCGTAATTTCCGGACTATAAGGCGCACCTGAATATAAGCCGCAGCAGCTAAATTGAATGATGTGTACATATATAAGCCGCACTGGACTATAAGCCGCAGGTGTTTTAATGTTTAATTACCATATGTAAGGGTTCGTGCACAGAGGGGATTGTCGGGAAAGAGATGGCTGTTTGAGGAAGCTCCCATTTATTAACATTTCAACAAACAAGTTGCATATTTGCATAACGTATTCAAGTGTTAGCATTTAGTGCAATAGTAGCTACAGAACATGTACTGTGCTGTGTAAACTGTACTGTATCACATAGCGTTTCAGACACACAAACTTTTCAACTTTCAAACTTAAACGGTGCGCTCCCAGCGCACGTACCGGCAGTGATCTACAGCAGTGGTTTTCAACCAGTGGTACGGGGACAAACTGTCTCGCTCTCGTAATGTCTGTCTGTCTTGCTCTCGTTCTGTCTCTCGTACCACTCTCGGTTCCACTTTTACTTTTGCGCGCTACCTGTCTCACTCTTTTCCGGCCTCCAGCTTTTCCTGCTGGAGCCCGCCGCTTAAAGGTGGAGGGCCGCGGACCGGCCATAGAGCCCATAGAGTTAAAGGTGGTGGACTGTAACCTGTAAAATCCATAGATTTAGGAGGTCCCCTAGTGGCCGTTAGCTGTAGATTAGCCGCACCGTTATATAAGCCGCAGCGTCGAAAAATGGCAAAAAAGGCGCGGCTTATAGTTCGAAAATTACGGTAATCAACTCATTAAAACCCGAGCACTGGACCCATATCACATTTTGTTTGAGCAACTAGTAAGTAGTAGCTATGTCACAATCTCAGCACGTGGGAGTGTATTGTTTTAGTGTCAAATAGACTTGCTGACCATGTTGGCTTTACGTGATCAGAAAATGTCACAGGGGGATTAAAGACTAAATCTACTTGTAAGCTTTGTGTTTACATTTCCATGACATTTGAAATGTTTTATGCGTGAAGCTTGAAACTATAAAAGATGACAAAGCACATTTAAAATAGTGAAATTCATTAAAATGATGACCTGATAGGGTTCATGTCTGGTCGGCTGGGCTTGGCCACTGCTTTGACAAACTTCTCAGCCATCTGGATCCTGGATACACAATGTACGTTATTTAGGAAAATACACAAACTGGCGTGAAAGGGAATTGTAATGCAATCGTAGGTCCATTTATTTGTGTGTATCATTTCCTACCGTTGGTTGAAGTGCCGATCTCTCACGTCAGTGCCATTCAGTATCAGAGCATCCATCACATGAACTGCGTTGATTCTCCGCTGGGCTTTGCCCTAAGGACCAAAGAAACTGTATTGAAACTTTTATATCTTTACAAATACAAGCAGCAAAATGCTTACTGAGGTGTTTTTCTAACAATATGCAACTGTTCTTTTTTTCACGGGGGAAAAACACTGAAAGCTCCTACAAATACAACTGAACTCAACAACCTGAAGCATGATTTTGGACACAACAAAAGTACATAGCATCTCATGAGAATTGTTGTTATTTCAGAAAAAAAAAAAAATAGAGCCGAGTTTAAAGAGATTACGATACCGGCTCCCATATTTCATCTGTTCTTCGTCTCACCTCGCCCTTTAGTTCTTGGACGATCTCCACACTCAGAAGTGTATCTCTTGGCAGTTCCAGCTTGAAACTCTCCAGTTTCCTCCAGCGCACTGGCAGCTTCCCCTCCCATATGTATATCTGAGACTTCTACACGAGCCAACAGGGAAAGCAGATAAAGAGATCAAAACAGGTTCATCTACAGGCTACCATGCTTTAAGGACATATGCAATCCTCTTTGCTCACTAGTAGCCCTCTGAATAAACTAATACAAACATTAGGGGTGAGTAGATTAGCCTTTCAGCGCTGCATTTGAATCTTTCCCAAAATCAAAGCAAAGCCAAGTGGAAGTTGAGAGGACAGATAAAGAAATGGGACGAGGTTTAAGGATTTGATGATACTGGCCTGGATGTTGAAATACAGTACATCACACATATAGGCTGCTATCTGATATCAAATATGTCATTCTTGAAAAAGACTTAAATTACATTTCTATATTCTTCAATATTATTAAATCTACCTAATAATAGAGGATTGAGCAGGTTGTGTGGAAAATACTTAACTACAGTGCTACATTGACTCACCCCTAGCGAAAGAAGGAAGATCTGCTCTCCACCTCCCACAATGCACCTGTGGTCAAGGATGTGACGCAACTTCTCGAGTGAAGTGGAGTTGAGAGGTGTGAGCTTTGTCTGGAATGACTCCACATCTGAGTTCTGAGGAGATATGGAGACACATTTTAAACCAGCTCATTTATTGGAGTTTTACTCATTTGTGAACAGATCAACAAAAAAAAAATAATATTTGTTTTGAAATCTGATTTTGAACCAGATAAATACTGTTTAGGATTCACCAAAGTGCAAAAAGCTGCTTCACTTTTTGATTTGACATGTATTATTAATTAGGAAGTAGAATCCTCTGACAGCCCACATTTATCAGCGTCCCCTTTTCTCCCAGTAGGGTTTCTTTAATCCCAGATGTATCCACTGACCTTTACCAGCTCGTAGAACTTTGACTTTGGGTCTGAGGAAGTAGGGGTGACTCTGGCCTTGTCTGGGACCTGGGGATGGGAGTGCAATGTATTTAGGAGTAGAATTACATAGAACAAAACTGCATTATTCAACCAAACCTATTGCTTCTATTGGATTGGTTTTATTCCGACTTCAATCTAGTAAATATACAACACAGTTTCTCCACTCACCCCCCACAGTTTCAGGCACTCCTTCCTAATCTCTGCCTGTCTCGTCTCAGAAAGAGTCCTAGAGGAACACACGTCACATAATCAGTAAAAGCAAAAAGACTTTAATGTCATACAGATGAATGCACACAGAAGTACAAGACAGCTCACTCACTGGTCTACAACGAAGGCGTGGATCTTAGCCAGGGCCTTGATCTGGACCACACAGAGGCTGCAGTGAGAGTAAACACATTTCTGTCAGCCATTGATTCTGAAATAAAAAGGTTAACAGGCCTTTGTGAATACTGTGTGTCTGCACCTCTCGTTGGAGTTGACCATGAACTGGTAGAAGTCTGTGTCTTCCTTGATGAGGCTCAGAGGAACCACCTCCGTGACGTCAGTGTCTGTGTTCCTCAGCTGGTTCAGTTTCAGGTTGACTCTGAACATGTATTCTCTGATGGCGTCTGCGCCGGGCTTCAGACCACGGCACACTACGTACCTTCAGAGCGAGAGAGGGACCAGTTTAACAGATGCAAGACCTTTCTGTGAAAAACTCTCTCTTGTAAGAATGAATGAAACATTTGATCCATAGCAGTGTTCCATTTCAGTTGGGTTGAGACTTACTGAATATTACTTGACTTTTAAAGTTGAACAAAATGTCTGTCATCAAGACATTTTTTATTTCATTATGGTCTTTATGATAACTTTGATTGGCCTTTGCACAGCCACGTTTTGTGTGAGGCTGAGGCTAAATGATCCAGTAAAAAGTGATATGAGGGAAAGTCCATGTTAGGATCACATGATGTTTTGAAGAGTAACGGTCAATATGCTTCTTAATGCCTTTATGTAGTCATGTAGTTTACAACAACAACAACGTTTTGCACGTATGTATGATTTATATTAGAGAACATGCAGATTATATAAATTAAGAAAATGTGTTTAAAATACAATAATTACCCTGTCAATAAACATACACAAGCAACAAACTCCACATAGATTTCTAGCACATGGTGTACATTCACACACACCTCTCGGAGTTGGCCGGCCTGCTGGTGATGGGTTTGAAGAGAGAGATCCTGTCGAAGGAGAGGTAGAGCAGGTAGATCAAACCCACACTGAAGGGAGTGAAGAGGTCAAAGGTCTTGCAGACAAAGTGACCACCTGGAGAAGCAAAAAGAAACTGGTTTATTCTAATCCTTAGCGTAAACTAACAGAGTGCAGAGGTGAGTATAACATCATGAATAGGATGAAGGTACTAGGGTTGCCAGAAACTGACCATGATCAAAATCGATTATTATTCGGCAGCCCTGGCGAATAATAATCGATTATTCGACCGACACCCCACCCCCCCGTGGGAGAGAAGAAAAAAAAACTCAGTCAAAAGGAATTCCGTTGTTTTCTTTACTGGAACATGTTTAACAGTACAAACAAAATAAACGACAAATAAAAAAAATGATGCAGCTCCTTGAACTCTTTTTACCTGCCGCTTTGTTCATCTTTAGTCGCACGTGTGAGTGAGAGGGGGGGTGGGGGCGGGGGCGGTGTGTAGCGTGCTGCTGCAGCAGCAGTCTACTCTGCACGCAGGCTTCCTCCAAGTTTACAGTAAAACCAACTGGTGGTGTGACCAATGGCCATTTACAATTATTAATACTATTATTAGCATTAGTCTATATTTTGGTTGAAACTAAGCCAGAAAAAAAAAAAAAAAACATAAATAATAATAAAAAAATATATAAATAAAATCGATTTTTAAAAATAATATTCGATTATGGAGACTGTAACGAATATTCGAATAATCGAATAATCACTGGCATCCCTAGAAGGTACGTATAACAAGACTGCACAGAAATGCTCTCATTAGTTTCCCAGAGTTTTAGGGACATGTTGAAAGGTTAGGAGCTACAGCCAAAGTGTAGAATGTCCTGATGGACAGGAAAGCTGACTGATTCATTTATGCACATGAATACACACACCTGTCCTGAGTGTGGAGATAGCAGTGAGGAACTGACAGAGCAGCAGCTGTTTGCTCAGGATCTCCTGGATGTTTTCCTGGCCTTCCACAGAGAAACCCTGCCAGACACAGTCAGTTAGGAAACCAAAAGTGATCCAGTCAGTACAAAGAAACCCCAGAGAGCAGGACTTTGTAACCTTATCTTCTGCTTGATATGTATATCTAAGATACTTTGCTGCAGAGCCGGAGCTACAAATAAACCCCGCAGTAAAAACTAAAATAGAATTAGTCTCACCCCATCTGCCATGAGGAAGTGCATGCCTCTTCTCTCTGTGCTCTCCAGGACGAAATTTCGGAAGGCGGTGATGTTTTCTGGCCGAGTGATGTCTCCGTCCCCATCCACCCCTCCCTCACCTGGGACACACAAAGGTCAAGAGTTTGTCTGAATCATTCATCACCTCAGACGTGACTGTTTTCTCTCCTCCTCTCTGAACGTGATTATTATTATTATGTATTTATTTCAACAAGGACCATGCACACAGCAACAAACACTACAAACATTGCTTAATCTCCATCACACAAACGATTATAAAAACTTATTTAAGTACAGGTTAATAAAATAATACATAGTACAGTTCAAATATCTTATTACAATACAGTTCAAATGGAACAACTCAGAGGACAGTGTAATTAATGACTGGTTGCTTAATATCAATTTGTTTGCACCATGAGAGAATGACTTAGTGTTTTGGTGGCGGTAAATGAAAATGCAGATTGTGCAAAGGCAGTGCGCCTCAGAGGGACGGCGAATTCTGCATTTAGAGCAGATCTTGAGTTTCTGCAGCTCTGCTCATGTGATGTGCGTGCGTACCGTAGTAAGGCTCAAACAGCTCACTTGGAGCCGCAAAGAAATCTTCCAGTTTGAAGTCACAGGGTCCTTTCAGCGTCATGCCAAACCCCTTGGCGTGCCAGCGCCTCCTCCACAGTATGTACTCTGAGAAGCCTCCAGGCCCCGCACAGACGTCACCGAAGTACAGCAGCTCGCCCTCGCGGTCCTTTGTCAGAGGTTTCTGCATAATGAGAGAGGTTTGTTTAACCATGTGTTTGTAAAGGTCTCTGTGAACCTGCTGCTGACCAACTCACCCCTTGTGAATCCTTAGGGTTGGTAAACATTTGGTCGAAGCAATGGTCGATGTTGGACATTTTCATAGCGGCTCTGAATAGAGAGAGACACAAGAACAGCTTGTCGTTAGTAAAAGCTGGAAACTATTAGTCAGATTTTATTTCCTGATATTATGTACAGATGATATATACAAATGTTAATTAAGCGTACATTCTTTACATTGCCATTGTTCAAAAACTGCTATTAGTAATTCATCATTTGAGTTTTTTCAATATGTAAGCAGAGCAAGTGACTTACACAAAATGACCCACGTTAATAACATGACAGCTCAGCTGATAACCGCCTACGTACTGACCTGTTGAGGAAGATACCTCCTCTGATCGTCTCGTAAGGGTTAGAGCGTGTCCGTGCTCTCCTCATCTCCTCGCCCTCCAGGTTATCGAATACTGTCTGAACAACAAACACACACCGTGGTTAAACAACTCAGGTAGATTATAGCATTATGATTTAGATGTATCCGGTGTATGTGGACATTCACAGAGCTTCACACAAAGAAGAGTCCATTGATAAACTCATTCACCATAGTACCATGTTGAAAAAGGGATTCCAGTAGTTTATCAGAAGAGGAAACAGACAGACACTTAGATGCAGTAGTGAACTCTTTTGATTGCCTAGACAGCACACATTCACACTAAGATGTTCATCATAGTGTTTCATATGTAGGTTCCTGTATAGACAGTTCGATGTTTGTTAATAACATTTAAAAAAGCATAACAATTTGAAGTTAAAGCTCACCTTGCACCTTAGAAGAGTGTGCAGGAGATCTTCAGTGCAAAACTCTGTTTCATCCTCAATCTTAAGTTTTCTCTGTAAGCAGAAAAAAAGAAGACTAAGAACAAAACGTACACATTTGAGGCAAAAGAGGGCGCTTGATGCTACAGGGCTTTCAGCACCACACCAATTCCATACTTGCAGACCGCTTCTTCAGGTGTTTTGCTTTCAAAAAGAGAAATAAAGCCAATTCAATTCGTTTAACTTTAAAGATCAAAGGCCTCTTCAGATATTGAGTGTTATCAACAAATATATCTTCTTGTAAAATATCCTGAGTTGTTTTGGTAAAACCAGTGTTCTCATAAGTTAATTAAAGGTGTGGTAGGTAATTTTGGAGAAACCAGCTCGAGTGCGCTAGAATTTGAAAATACACAGCCGGAAAAAATCTGCCACTTCCTTACAGAGCCCCTCCTCCAACACACACGGACGCGCACATGACCAATGAGGGCACGAGATAAGTTTGTGCACAGATGGAAGGCTGACAGGCAGGTAGGCCATCCATTTATTTGAGCCGGGCCTTGTTAAAGCACTTAAGATATTCATTGCTATCAGGATGTTAAGAGCATTCCATGGAATATAACAAAAAGTGTATCTCGAGCCGGTTTCCCAAACTTACCTACCCCACCTTTAAATTAGCAGCAAAAATGCACTTGAACTTGGCCCCTCACCCTCTAAAATCCTCTGTGCCTGTTATATAACATATATCTGCAGACTTATGGGTGAAACGCTTACAAAGGTGAGTGAAGGTATTCTACTTTCGAACGTATTGTTGATCTATATAAAAGAAGCAAGAT